CCCCCCCCCCCCCCAAAAAAAAAAAAAAACAGATAGGAAGTAGAATTTTCTGCTAATTCCCAAATAATTACTATTTCAAGTCAAATATTTTATACTTGCTATTACCTACGTGTCAAAAAATTAAACTCTGAACAGCACTTCTGAATTCTTGATATGTTACTGAAAGTATAATAAGTTAACTGAGTATATTTTACCATTTGTCCCCAATTCTGAACTGCAGTAACAATGCAATGAATATATGAAGAGCAATATTCTTACATTTTGGAAAGCTACACTTATCAATAGACATCTCATTCTATGCAAACAAGCTTCCTTTAGGTAATTCCTTTACTGTGTAAGAATCTCTGGAAATAGTCTAGATTTCTCTACTGGGTGTCTTTGAACACACACAAAAAAATCAAGGTTTAGGACACTTAAATTGCTGGATTTAAATTACATTTTTTACTACTGGAATTTTCACAGACAGAATCAAATATTTTCCACTCACATTAACAGTTAAAAAAAATGAAAACTATGAAAACTATAAAACTATGAAACTGAAAACAAAGTAGAGAAGATCCAGTCAAATTCCTTTACTATTGGAACAGTACACAATGCTGGTACTGTCTTCTAAATTATATCATTATCAGTTCCTACTTGCTAAACATCCATATTTCTAGGGGTTTGTATTACATTGATTATATGGAGACCTGCACAGAAGTGCACAGAAGACACACAAGTAATAAGGAAGGATGTCATGTTGAGGTGCTGGTTTTTATTTCAGGCGCTAATTTCTTTCATTTCTTTCTTTGAGAAAAGGGATTTTTTGACTATGAAATTTGATAACCAAGTCAATTTTCCCCCCAAAATTCTTAACACATCCTCAAATAATGTGCAATAGGAGTTACTAATCTCATTTTTTTTTCATATGTATGTATACATAAATTGTACTTAAAAGAGAAAATGAACATTGAGAACTCTCACTGTCCCCAAGCAATAATGAAGACCAGGCTCTCAGCTAACAAGTTTTCTTCAGAGGTTTGTAACTTTAATTATGCATGATTTTAGCAGGCAAGGAATCACAGGCTGTACATGTCCATGAAAATCAATTCTTTCAACTTCTGTCATGCACATTTACACACATCTTCCATTTAAACAGTTCCGGCATACTCAGTTCATTCATCCTACTTGCCCTCCCACATTAGCACTATCACCATTATGTCACATTCTGTTTTCATGTCACAGAAGAAACTTCAACCTCAGAAAAGTTATAAAGACAGTAGGACACTACTGAGTAGGACACTAGTGTGCTCAGACTTGGCAGCAAAGAGGTATACGTAAGGGAGGCTGCACTGTATGAGGAACTGTTTACATCATACCATGCTTGAAGTGATTTTCACCTTGTTTGAAATATGAAAAACACTGCAACTTCACAATTCCAAACACAGACACTGCAATTGATTGGCAAGTATATGTCATATTCTGCACCAGCTGTTCAATTAATGGTAAGCATGTTCATGTGTATTTGTTCCAACCTTCTAAAATACAATTACAAGTTACATAGGGGCAAACAATTTTCTCCCTAAACACAGACTTATTTATCTATTTTATTAATTTAAGTCATTTGCTCATCCTCAAAAGAAAATAAATCTGTTTACCAGAGAGAAAGGAAGACTCTAAAGAAGTAAAATTAATACATTAACTTTATTACAAATACAACTGTAGATCTTTATCTCTGTGAGTGGTGCAAGCAGAGAAATTCTTTTGTGCAGATAATGTAAATATTCTTAATGATCTGAATTTCTGTAACTAATATAATTTACAGAATGAAGTTCCAAAATACATACCTCTAAATGCACTGATATCACCATAGTGTACCTGCAGTACAAAAAATTTGCTCCCTGTTTCTCCTCCAACTCTGAATCCAACACCTAAAGGTAGGAAAACACGCTTTCAGAAACAATAAAATGCAATTTAGTTCACCAGGGCTGAACATACAAATCTATCAAATACAAATCACTGAAACTGCTTAGAAAGAAAGAGTATATAATTTTACTGAAATAACACTGAAGAAAAGCGCTACCCTAAAACCCAGAAAAACTACTGTCATGACACATTTTCCCAGACTGAAAATATAAGAACAAAATTCAGTTATTAATGATCAGATACCTATTTCAAGCTAAGAATTCTCTAAACATAAAATTCAGATCATAGATCTGAGGTATATATTACACGCATAATATAATTTAAAAAATAATAATTAAAAAAAAAAAAAAAAAAAAAACATCAGATTTTCATCATCCCTGTAGAATTTGGAATAACTTTCCTCTCATCTCCCAGTCTCTCCTACTACCTGTAAAGAATACAAACTGAGTAATGCCGACTAACTGAAAACACACTGTAAAATAAGATAAGAAATAGTAATTAAAAAAGATCAGCAGTAAAATACTTTAAGACAAAAATTAACATTGTATGCTGAAAATGTCTTGTTGTACTTATGAAGCTATTTTACTTGCTAACAGAAGCAACAATGGGCAGAGAAGAAAATAGAGGAATCTGAAATAATTTGTAATAATGAAATTGCAAAAGATCACCATCACCAAAGGGAATTCTCTAAACTGGTTATACAGCGAATGCTCTAGAAAAGAAGCACCAAAAGCAATTTCGACTTCTACAGACACTGAATCCCAGTAGATTAAAACCGCTCATGGCAGGAGCCAATTTGTAAAAGGGACTGCAGTTTCCCTGCTGAGAAGTATGATATCGCTACGATAAAAAACAAAAGCAATACCTTGTATTTATGGGCAGCTTAGAGGCAGAAAAATGAATACAAGCTGAGGTTTAACAGCAGAGCAAACAACAGACTTCCACAGAATCCTCTAAGCAACAATTTTTTTTTTTTAATTGACATTCTGATAACCAAATCAACTAACATTTATGGTCATAACCATGAAAATTGTATTTCAAATAAACCGCTTGATGATAGTATGTATTGTTTGTAAAGAGGCAGTAAAAGAGAAAAAGATTCTCAATTTCAAGGTTATACTTATATAAATAGGTACAACTTGTACAAGTCTTACTAGTAGCCCACAAAATTTTGATTTTAAATCAGCAAAATGGACTCATACATTCAAAAGAGTACATAAGCACGTTGCTAAAAATGAAATATCAAGAAACTAAAACCAAATAAAATTACCCACTATACTTTACACACACACACAATAATCAATTATTTAGATTCAATTTGTCTATTCTTTCCTAACACAAAAATATTTCAATTTCAGAAAGATTGCATTAACTGTGCCACTGAAAAATACATTCAATGTATACATTCTGAAAAGACACAGTAGGAGATGTGAGATTAATGTTATTTAAGAATAAAGCATTAACTTCCAGTTACTTTTTTTCTCCCAACTGAAGACCATAATGACATAGCAAAAATGACGACAAAAAAAAAAACAAAAAAAAACCACAAGTGTATTAGCTAGCACAATATATTCCCACTTTATGAAGCTTAAGTTCATACACTTTCCATTAACTAAACATGATTTTACACAAGATTCCTAGATACGCCCACTGCTCATCTTCACATCCTCTCCTCTGCCTCTGTACACAAGGACTTTACATTAAAGTATGATACCTTTGGGAAGCCTGGTAGGTGGAGCATTTCTTGCCCAAGCATACAAAATATTTGATTTGTCTTTGCAGATTCCTTCATCACAGTCCCTAAAATTACGAGGAAAGAAAAAAAAAAAAAAAAAAGGAAACATTTTTAATTTTGAAAATTCTGAAATCAACAGGTAAATTATAGGGAAAATTACTGATTTTAAGCTCACAGAATCACAGAAAGGTTTAGGTTGGAATGGGCCTTTAAAGTCCACCCAGTTCCAACCCCCTGAGATGGGCAAGGCTGTCCCCCACCAGCTCAGCTGCCCAGGGCCCCATCCAACCTTGAGCACCTCCAGGGATGAGGCACCACAGCTTCTCTGGGCAGATGTGCCAGGGCCTCACTGCCCTAATATGTATGAAGATGCTTTTGGACGTAATTTGATTCAACATGTTTCTTTTACTGTAGATTACTTTCCCAGCTATCCTTACATCTCCCATCTTTTTTACTCTTTTCTTCCCTCAGCTTTAAGATAACGCTAGGCAAACACAGACATGAACACTTTAAATAATAAATGATATTTATTTAGAATTCATCTAAAAATCACTGGCAATTAAAAGCATGCAAAAAGACTGCTTAAGAAACAATAAGTAGATGCACTCATACTCTTTCCTGCACTTACTGCCAGCATAGTGCTGTAAATTTTTATTTTACAGTACACTCTCCCAGTTGTTTGTTTTGTTTTTTTTAGAAGAAAATTTTTTAGTAGAAAATTATAAAAAAGAGAAATTCATGTCAGGCTACCTATCACGAACACATCAGAAATTTTTAGTAGAACTATGAGTTCTAGATTTGATCCTACCCTCTGAGGCTAAAATGTTGCAACGTTGTCTTCCTTAGTCAGCACACCTACATAGGCCAACGCCACTCAGCAGCAACACAAGCGACAATAGCTCCTCTTGTCTGAGTGGCTTTTCTGTTTGTTTTAAAGGTATCTACTATTTGCATGGATATTTTATTATCAGAAACCAACAGGCAAAAGAGATGAAGGCAATGTGCTGAGAAAGTAGCTTGCAATAAGACAGACTCATAGAATGGTTTGAGTTGAAGGAGTCTTATGGATCATCTAGTTCCAAACACCTGCCATGGGCAAGGACACTTGACTCAGGCCGAGGACCTTGCATTCTGCATTTGGCATTCTTGAACTAGCTGGGGTTCACTAAGGCTCTCCTCTCAAGCCTATCGAGGTCCTTTTGGAAGACAACCCCTCTCTTCAGCAGTATGTCAGCCTCACCACAGCTTGGTATCATTTGCAAACTGCACTCTATCATACTGCCCATGTTACTGATGAAGATGTTAAATGGCATACTACCAATAACAACCCAAAGGAACAACACTGTTAACCACACAGACACTGAGCTGTTGACTACAACTGAGTGCAGCTATCCAGACAATTTTTTAACCAGCTAGTGGCCTATCTGACAAATCTATCTTCAATATACAGACAAGAATGCACTTCTCACAAGTCCAACTGGATGACATTACTGCTCTTCCTTTATCCACTAATGCTATAACCCCTTATTCACTACAGTTCACCAAATTCACTAAACACCAAATTCATCACGCACAATTCACTCTTAGTGAAGTCTTATAGGCTGCCACCAGTCACCTCTGTTTTCCTTGTGCAAATGGAAGGCACAGCTTTCTCTGTTTACCACTGCTGGTAAAATGAAAACTGGGAAAAATAAAGTTTCACACACAGTGCAAAAAGAATAAAGACATAAAAAAACAAGGGCAGATGCAGGATGTGTAACTTCTTTGTTGAGGACAGCTCTCAGATGAGGATTCATCCTGGTCTGCTCTCCTCCAGAGATAACTAGTTCTAAATGTATATAAGAAAAAGCAGGTCAGCTGGACATTGAGTTTCTATCATTCCCAAAAGCCTAAATACAGCAAAGCATTACTGTTTTCTTTGGACAGAAAGCACTGCTATGATCACTAGACTACCTACAATAAAGGGAAGATGTCACTTCTACCCCCTTGCTAGTTTTGATTGTAATGCAAATAATTTCTAGACCTTCACAACAACTAACCTGATCTCCCAACCCTTCATACCCCCCTCCCCTTTATCATATCCTCCAGTGAAACATATCTCCAGAGAAACCTATTTAAGGTTAAGTGAAAAAAAAAAAAAAAGCCATGCAGCTGCAGGTAAAAATCTGTGCAGCTTTCAACTGGTGCAAGTTAATTCAACAAAAGACTGCAGGAATCTAACCAGCTACTGTGCTGCACAGGTCAGAATATATTAAGAAGGCTGGCTGGGAGGAACAAGATCAGAAACCACAAGCAAGCACAGTCAGTTCTGCAGCTTACCTTCATTAAACCACAGTACTTGCTAAGGTCTGTCACATAAGGAGATTCTATCACATCAGCTACATCAACCAACCAAAGAAAAGATAAGCTGTTCTAAACTTCTCTCGGGCATCAGGAGGAAAAAAAGAAGAAATACTCACACAGCTCTTTTGCTATGCTTACAAAACTGTCAACTTCCATTTAGGCAACACTGCTGATCTTGTAAATTCAGATAATAAAACCAATGTCAAAGTAGATTCAAAAGAAGAGATAAGACAGTTGACAATCAGACTTAAAAACAGTAAAAAGAAAACACAGGCAGGAAATTAGAAAAAAGTGTGTGTTTACAATCAGAAAAAATATTAACCTATTGCATGAGAACAGGGTTTACTGATTACTTCTTGTCTAGTCCCTCTTACCTTCCCTACACTGAAAGATCTCATGAACTTCACAAATACATTCTTCTCAACTTTGAGTAAGATCAGGAGCTAGTTTTTAATGACATTAGTTTTGACTGATTACTTAGTCTGAAAGCAAAATATTTTACTACATCAACATCACCAGTATTTTGCTGTCCTCTCAGGATATTTACATTGTTTATAAAAACAAAACCAAAACTTCTGCAATTTATTTCTCTATTACGTTCTACCTGTTTGATTCTATCCAAGACTTTAAAAAAAAAAAAAATAAATTTGATGTGTCTGAGTAAGAAAATCAATAATTAACAATCTTAACATATTTCACAATCTTCATTGGAACTAAAGATGCAGTTCTTCCAGTAAAAAGCTTCCAAAATCATCCTCTACTGGCAACAAAAGCAACTAGTCTAACGGAGGAATTACTGAGTGGTGATCTATGGCCTGAATCTACGCATTTGTTTAGACTGGATAGCTATATATAGTTGCTATGCCTAATCTCATTGAAGTTTATGCCTATGAATCATCTGAAATGATCTCCCATTTCAGCACAGTTTGAGATTGCATGAGACGTTGTCCTGCCAAGAGGCTCTGAAATTCTGAGTAACAACTTACGGAGAGTCACACCTTTTGATGAATCAGCTCAAGCACACTACTCTGATTTCAACAGTTTATCAGCTCTGATACTTCCAGTGCCAATTATGATCAAGGAGCAGAAGTCTTTTTAAAAAAAAATTGTTCTTTTTTTTTTTTAAAGCTTTTTTTCTGCGGAAAACTAACAGCACAGTCTCCACAATTGCTTAAACAAAATTGTTTCTTGCGGTTGAAAACCAAATTAAGCCAGCAAATTTACATTAGTAGTATGCTTACTCATGTAGCAATTACTCTCTACAGTGACTTACAAAAACATGCAACAGCTTCTCTACATTTGAACACTGAAGTAAGGAATACAGAGAAACATTTATAGATCTGCACATACATGGCTATACACATACAAACTACATTACTTGCATACAGAAAAGGCAAAAAAACCTAGCTTTAGTGTTCGGCATTTATGTAGAACAGATGTGATGATGTTTCTAGTCTTGCAGATGACTACAGGCAGTGCAAAATGAAATGGTGCAGTCTGTTGCAACAGCATATGAAATGATGAGATAATGAATGAGAAATTTTTCAGAATTAAAAAAAAAAAATGCTAGACCTCAGAAACGACACACTGGAAAAAAAAAATAGTAATATTTAAGCAAAACCTGGATATAAAAAAAAATAATCAGAAGTATCAGATTTAAATACAACACTAATTACGTTTCATCATTTGGTATTAAGTATACCAGTCATGAATGAATGCCACACTGCACACGCTGCCACTGCTGAGTTCTCTTTGCTGGGCAATCATTTTCTCCTAGGAAAAGTGATGATATAGTCAGGGAGCAAACAATACCTGAACTCTAATCATAAGCCTGATTTGAGTCAAAATTCAGCTTTGAAAAGCTTTTTCCAGCTTTTGATTTATTTCTTTATATTTGAAAGTTCAGGAACCAAACATGACAGAATCACAATATGTCAGGGACTGGAAGGGACCTTGGAAGATGATCGAGTCCAATGCCCCTGTCAGAGCAGGAACACCTAGGTTAGTCACACAGGAATGATTCCAGGTGGGTTTTGAATGCCTTCAGAGAAGGAGACTCCACAGTCAATCTGGGCAGCCTGCTCCAAGTGCTCTGTGACCCTCACCATGAAGAAGTTTAACATTTAAGCTAGATCTTCAGAACGTCAGCTAGATATGACTCAGGCATCACCTCATGTTTTCATCTTGGTAAAATTACTTCCAGACACGTTAAATCACACTACAAGCACAATCTACATGGTTTTGAAGGGCACACAAGACTTGAATTGGTTTGAAAAGGTCACACATGTTGTTATAAGTCTAAACGCTTTAAAACTATATTATAATATATAAGACAATACAAAGAACACAGAAAAGTTGTTTACTGAGAACATAAATCAACAGTGCTTTCAGAGTTCAACTTTTTTCCTCAACTTTTAAATAAGCTATTTTTCTCGTGAGAAGACTGTAACATTCATTATCAATATTAGAACCATTAGCTGAGAGGAAAAAGGTAAATAAAATTTTTGATGAAAGTTTATCATATCGTATAGATTAAATCATCTCCACCAACCATGAAAAGATTAGAAGTGCTACTTTTCAAAAATTTTTTTTGATAAAATACATTATACTATTAGCCCAAGAGTCCAACTCTAGTTATCATCTTGGTAAGTATATAGAGGGTAGAGTGAGATTACAAAACTCAACCACAAAAAAAATATATCTATATTTAACCTGTTACACAGGTCACAATAAGTTGTACAAGCTTTACACAATCTGTATCTTACCTGGTCTTGCCTGAAAACTTGAAAGAAGTGTGAGAAATTACTGACAGATTACTGATTTCATTAGTGATTTCACTCTCTAATTACTAATTCTTCACATTACCAGCGGTTTTAGTGGCCCTGAGAACTTCTCTCTGTTCTCAGAAATTATGCATTTTGAAGGTTAAGTCAATTACCAAACCACTTGAGGAATTTAAGGAATTTATTTCCTTAAACTTATTCTTCGCTTTCCTTACGTCCTTCTGGACACCTGATAAAATATTCTTCCATACAGATATCAAGAGAAACAAAGCTAGGGACCAGGCTTTCTCCAAAACTTCCACTAATAGTTTCCCCTCTCATAAACTAAAAAATTATGATAAGAAAGATGAGGAATGCATACAAAAATATTTATTCGGAAAAGTGTGATGTAGGAAAAACAGCTGATGGGATGAGTAAATACTACCAAAAGTAGATATTTCCCCATCATCAATGAAATCAAGATGTGAGGTTGTTTTGTTACTGACTGCTGTCTCAAACAGCTTGAAGTATGTCCACAACGTAAAAAAGATAATGCTGATAATGAAGAAAAAAAAAGGGGGAGGAAGCTTTGACTTTCTCCTATTTGACTCAAATCGTCAATCAATAAACATGTTAACTTCATTTCGAACTTGGGTTCACAAGAACTGCCAAAAAATAAGATTAAAGAGCATCTGTGTCTTTATGACCAATCACCCTAAGTCTGAGTGCTCTCCACAGAAAATCTACATTAAAGACTAAAGCAGATTTCCCTCTCTAGGAAGATTAAGCACAACCTTGTATCTTTTTCCAGTCCACAAAATCTGTCCAAAGCACTATGACAGAACTCTAAGGACATAAAAGGAAGAGAAAAAGTTTTCCTGAAACAAACAAAAAAAAAATCCTTATTACAAGAGCCCCTTCCAGACTCATAAAATAGTACCTGCTGAATTCAGATGATTTACTAATTATTTGCAGAAATTTCATCTAAATACTGCAAACGATATGTCTGTCAGAACAGAAATACAAGAAATGCTGACCAAGATTTTAACAAAAAACTGCGTTATGTATAGTAGTTTTGCATGTAGCACTATTTTCCTCAAAGTTTCCTTGCTTTTGGAGGTTGATTACACTTTTCTCTCAGTAAATAAACTCTGAACATATATACATATACATATCTTTATGTGAACATAATTTCACATAAATTAAATTAATAGTATACTCTATGTTTTAAATATTTAAATATAAGTAACTATGTGCATATACATATAGTAATTGGAGCTGCTAGACCTACACTAGAGATTAGTGGCAACTAGATTTACAATAAGCAAACAAAAAAAAAGCTTAAGATTTTTATTCTCATAATCTAACCGGCATCACAAATTTTTTGATTAAGAAGCTATAGCCTGCTTAATGATTCCCATGGATAACTTCATTTTCTCTGTAGCTCTAAATGTGCTTCAGTATTTCTTTTGACAAGCAGGTTATTCTTTTAAATACAAAAATGACTAAACCCTTCTAATTAGAAGCCTAGATTTCTTGGCATCCAATGACACCATGCGCGCTGTGTTTCCAGAAAAGAGGCTGGAGCTAGTGAAAATTTTTTCTTGCATCTTACAGATGATACAATTAAGAAAAAAAACAACAAAAAACACAAGTGTAGAAAGACTGCTATGTTATATGCTTCTTTCTTCGATTTTTTCTACTTCTGAAAGAAACAGTATATGTGGAGACAATCAACACAAGAACTGTTGGACACAATACTGAAAGCAAGCTTCCAATTCTTACCAGTAATTTTCATTAGAAGAGGGTTCATTACATCCAAAGAGTAACATGTGATGGACAGTGTCCATGCTACCATGAGGTTTAAAGTCAACTGAAAAACAAAATGATAAAATAAATGTTACCATCACTCTCACTATATTTTACACAAAGAGCATTTTGAGTTAATATTTCTCTGTAATACTGGAAACAAAGTACGTATCCCCCCTAACCATTTAATTACCTTTCTCATTCCACTTACAAGCTTTCGCTTCATTTCATTCAACAGCTTCTCACCCAAGTTAAAACTGTATTTCATTTAGTCATTTAAATAAAAAATTCCAAGTTACTACTCAAAGCCTCTCTATTTTCCCCAATAGTTAAATAAACATTTAGTAGACATACTAATATATCCCAAACCACAGTTTTTGTAGTAACTAGTCATATGTAAATTTAGCTTCAAAATTTGCATTTGTACTTTAGCACTACTTTTTAAAATTCTTTTTAGCTTTTTCATCAAAATACAAACATAAAGTTACAGTTAAGAGCAACTATTATCTTGCACACTGTTTGAAATTCTATCTTTTCTCAGCATTTCATTTAATCTATGCTTTTGCTGCATTTTTCTTGGGACTACAGTTCCAAGAAGAGAACTATGATTTATTCTCACTAACGTTGACAAACCCTCTGGAATGGAAAATGAGATTCCCTAAAAGACAACACAATTCTGTTGCCCAAATACTTCTCATTGTTAGAAAATTGGAAGATGATGACTATTCAGTATTCAAATGTCTGTTTGTCATTAAGTACCAGAAAGCCATTATTTTCATTTCTCAAATATTCAAGATCCTGTTCACTACTGAAAAAAGGTTACCAACATCACAGTGTAGTAATATTGATCATAAACTTACAATGACAGAATTTCTAAAAATAAGACAAGCTACATTGTGTAACTTCCTCTGTTATTACTGAAATGCTGTGCCAGATGCAAGCAATATAAAGGAATTTTTCTTAACATGTGACAGAGCAATGGGCTGGAGGATTTTTAACCTTATTCAACAGCTGAAAAAATGAGTCACTCTTGACATTAGACATAGACATTTAGGAGTCTCCAAATCCCTTTTAGTTTTTCAAGGGTCTTAGTATGGTCAGACAGTGAAACTGTAGACCACATAAATTACTTCTGCTTCATAAATTTGCAAGTTTATCAGCTGACACAGAGCTTCTGAGGTGAATTATGATGTGGATTATTGTCCCAGTTCTACAAAGGGAAAAACAAAATCCAAACAGACAGCTCTCAACCCTGCTTTTTGGAGCTTAGGTTTGCAGGGAAAAGTGACGAGGTAGTATTGCCAGAAGATAAGGCACAGAATTCAAAAGCTAGCTAGCTTGAATATAAGCTGTGCAGCCAGGATGGGCTGTAAAGAAACAAGCATGATAGAGTTGAGGGTCAGGTTTGAGAAATAAGGGGTGTCTCCACATACACAGGGAAGAGAGGAAGCAAAGCGTACCACGTATTCTTAAGAATGAATTTACAGAATCATTCCCGTTGCTTGAAAGATTAGAGTTCAAAGACCGTACGCAACCATCTTTTTATTAGCAAATTTTACTCAGTCCTTAGACATAAAATTGATCTGCATTACAGAAAGACCTTTTGTTTTGGTATTTTTGTCATTAACGAAGTGAAACTATGATTAGCTCATGCACAGGATGGATAACTGTCATACTGTCAGTGTCACACTAAGCAGACTAAATTATCAAGTGTTTATGCTGTTGTTGCCACCGTAAGTGAGAGGACATTTCTAAATTCATAAGCAGCTGCAACGATTTTTCTTGCAGAACTCAATACTTGTACAGAATGTACTGTAGGCAACACTTAGAACAACAGCCTTCAATAAAGACAAATTTAACCACAGGGCCTCTCAACTGCAAGTCTCTGCAGCCATTACAGTCTCACTGTTTCTCTTCAATTCCATGCCACCCTCTCATCTTTTTAATTACTGTAACAAGTGAGTCCAGACATCTTTTATTTCCTGCACAATGTCTACCGCAATGACATTCCAGTGCATGGCTGAGACCTTTAAGCACTGTTATAAAAGGTACTACAAATAGCTTAACAAGTAATACTAGTACAGACAGAATATAATTAGCAAAGCAAAATCACATCTCTGTTTGAACCACTTGCATGCACTAGTTTAGCTCATATCTCATCACTGCTTCTGACAGAAAGAGCTGAACAGCATCTCAGTCTGTCTGTGAGCTAAAGAAAGTTTTGCAGAGTCAGTTAACCTTCCCTATGTAGATATCTTAGCAATACTGACAAGCAAATACTATTACAAACACTATCTGTTTCCAAAAACAGGTTTTTTTTTTTTTTTATAAAAAAAAGCAATTTAATGATATAAGTTGTAAAAGTCATGCAAACCAGCATGACATTCAAACCAAATACAATACCTGTTACTACCAAAGTCTTAAGAAATATTAAACAAAAGCTTCCAGTTATTCTTTGAATTGACAGCCACTACATTTTAAAATAAGAAACATAACAAAATTCAATGTTTAAATGACTATGACAACTTGCAGAAGAAGGTTTCGGCCCAAGAGAATATCAACACCTGACTTCACTGTTTTTACACAAGATAAACAAGCCAACAAAAAAACCCCCCACAATTTTATCATCCCAAATTAGAAAATTAATAGGCATACCACAAGTGCTATTTACATATTATAATACGTGACTGGAATTTCTTCTGTTCAATCCCTGTTCACTGTTCAATGTTGCAAATTTGCTAAAGAACGAGACTTTTCTTACAAAAGCCCTCAAAATAGGTGTTCAACATTTTTTTAATAAAAGAACTCATAAAAAGTTATGGTTTACTGCTCTCTTTTTAACAAATCATTTACATGTACCTCATTTGTTAATCTTATTCTATATCATACAAAATACTTACTCTGGAAAAATCCCACAAGACTATAGTTTGAAAAGGAAAATCCCAATACCACTTCTAATTTAGTTTCCTTTAGGTGTAGCAGTTATATAAACTGGATTTTTTTTTTTTTTTTTTTTTTTTTTAATGCACAGATAAGCACTACAGAGTGATTACTGAAATAACAGTTTCATTGCATAAGCTAAATGTGAATTCAGTCTGAATCTGCAAGTATTACTTTGACCAACAAACTCTAGAAGGAGCAGAAATGAACAAAAGGACATAATTAAAACTTAGCAAATGTGTATATTTAAAAAAATGATTTCTTGGATATTCATCTTTAGGAGTGAAAACTCAGTAATTGTTGTTATCCTTAAAAAAAAATAGTTTTTTTCATACACGAGAGCATCAACACATCGGTGTTCACAGTTTGGTAGATTAGATACTAGAGGTCTTCAATATAGCACAGGCATTATCACTTTGTAATAGGGAAGTTTATATACACCATACCAGAGAAACAACTTTGCAGCATGCATGGAAGAAAAATAATAAGTCCTATAATTACTTCTGTTTGCATTGCTAATTGTAATAGGCTCTGTGTCATTTCTACAGGACATTCTCACACACAAGAACTTATGGAATCCTCAAAGAAATTTACTGGTTACGCACACGAGTGAAGGTAAGGAAGACAGCCAAATTTCTGACTTGCTGTCAGACTCATTTCTTAAGAATATGTGTGGAATATCCTTTAGCTCTCACTACAGTTCAGTAATCAAAAGCCAGTACTTATCAATGTCTGTATCACTAAGGACTCAATCTAGTTTCTACTCAGTCTTATTTGTAATCATGAATCAAATTTAGAAGGACAGAACTGTGATATGTTTTACAAATTTAAGTGGAATCATACCTTCTTTAAGTATTACATACTAATCTCATTTATTAACATCTATTGTATACTAATCTCATAGCCATTTCATTTTACAGCAGCAAAGAGTGTTTTCCTAATATCAACCTAAAAAAATGTTCCTTCCTACACTTGTTTTGCAACATTTCTAGCCCATCTGGGGACAGAAGACAGACTGATTCAAAAAGGGAATATCCACCTTGACAGGATGCCCCTCTACTAACAGGTACTGCAATGGATCACAACAGTATCTAGAGAAACAGACATATCCCTACAGGAGACCTCTAGAGCAAAACTTGCTCTATATCTATTTTTAATTTGTTAACACTCCTTAAGTTTGCTCAGTTTCTTCTTTTGATGCTGCCTGAGATCACACCCTGAACTAATTGGTAGGCTCTGGTACAGCACCCTCCCAGCTTTGCGATATGATCTTATACCCCTTGTTCCTGTGCTAGTGTAACAGTCTGCTGGTTTCAAATTTTCAGGAAATAAAAAAGTTGAAGTCAGAATTCAAAGTCCTCACCTCAAATATAAATTTGATAGGAAATACTGAAAAGTTACGGACTTATATTTTCTACTTATTAATGCATGCAGTACAACCTACATGCAATGCTAAAAAAAACAAGTCACATTTCATCAAAACTGCTGCATGTTCTATTAACAGACAGAACTTGTTCTTCCAGGCCCTGCTGGAGAACAGATTAAACGGAGGCAAACAAGAAAATAAAGGAAAAAAACAGAAGTGAGAAAATTTAGTTGGCAGTATTATGTAAACAAATTGAATTGGAGGCAGGAACATAGGTTCTGGTCTCAGATTTACCACTGAACTATGTCAGAAACTCAGTTTTCTGTTTTCATTCTACGTATCATTCACACCTGTCTTTTGAAGTTCCAGAGAACATACACTATCTTTTCCATACCTTGATGAATGGCAAGTCAGTGCAATAGTACATCTGTTAGTTGTCAAACGCTACCACAGTAATTAATGAGAGTTAATTACACAATCTATTGCCAATCCAATGAATGCAGACTCTGGTTAAACCACGTAAAAGTGTAGACAAATTGCTTTTAAAAATAAAAATTTAGTTCCGTGTCAGTTTTCTGCTTATTTATGCAACAAAAAATAAATCTATGCAAGTAAGTAAATATCGAGTTTTATAACATTAACAAATCATTACACAAAACATCACTAGTCGTCATGTTTCTTGAGTAACAATGTCTATTGCAAAGAAATCTCTTTCCTAAGAAGTTATAATTTGTTATTCACGTATTTCTTAAGGTAGGTCAGTTTGCACACCCTACATTTTCTGCAATTAAATAAGTTTCAATCTAGTTCTTTCAATGAACAGATAACTTCTGTTGGTTCTGAAGACTCTAACATTGGAAATCCATTCAGTTGAAATCACTTTTCAGTGACTTCACTGAAGACAGATGGAATTGATCACATGCTTAAGATTGACCGTATTCTGGTCTATCTTGGTGGAAGTGACCAAAGAAGAAAAAAGCAATTCTAGATTATTTTCAAGCCGTTCAAATATAAGAGGTTTTATGCAGTAATCTTGTGGGAAGAAATTTTGTTAACAGAATAGAATTTTCTCATTAATTTTTCAGTGAAATTCTTCTTCCTGTCCAAAGCTCCTTCTAAACACTAGAATGGTTTTGTTTCCAGACTTTATACTACTATGCATTACATTTACTCAAGCATGGTGATCACTGGAAAGCTGAAGATATCTGATAAAAAGCTGATAAAAACAAAACATCTAAAGAATAGAAGTTGTTCACTTTTCAGATCAAAAAAAAAAAAAAAAAAAAAAAAGGAATTGCCTGGCATGAGTCACATTGAGATTTTGCAGAAAACTGGACTTTTAATAAAACTGCTTTAGTCAATCCTTCTAAATGCATATAACACAGAAAGTATTTTATGGACTTAATACACGTTAGCAACAAATGACAGATGGAAATTGAAGCAATCTAATAAAGATTTGAGCTATGCAATTTTGCAATTCAATGAAGCACTAAATCTAAATTGCATAAGCAACAGGTTAGTGGTATGCCCTTCTATGAATTACTTGAAAGCAAAAAAGTCAACTTGCACATACTGCATAGTAAATATAGCTTATTAGCAAATTAGCATGAACATCAAATCCATTTTATACTCTTGTGGGGTTTTTTGTTTTGTTGTTTTTGTTTAACTTTTTTTCCATATGAGTCAAACAGCCAAAGTGTAATTTCATGGTTAGAAGCCAACTTCTGTACTAAACAGATATACAGATAAAGCATTGAAAAAATCCTTTTTTTTTTTTTTTTTTTTTTTTTTTTCCCAGTTAACATAAAGTAACCAGAAAGTCTGAAAATGAGATTCTATTTCCAAAGGATTTCCACATAGAAATTAACATGGAACATAGTTCCTCAATACCCTACAACAAAAGCTACACAGATTTTCCATCATATTCATCCTAAAAGGCAACAGGGAATAAAAAACAGATTTCAGTTTAAAGAACATTCTGATAATGAAACTTTCATCAGGAAAATCATCACCTTTCCTCTTTATCAGAACATTCATAGATTCATAAGCAAGAAAAATAACATCAGAAGTACAGTGAAGAGCCTCTTTACAGATTTGTTGTTTTGCAGATCCATTTTGGTACTATTTCCAAGTGTTTATCTGTCACCTTACTCATGTGACAGCATTTAAAAAAAAAAACAAAAACAGAAGTAAGATTTTAGGTTGGTTTTGCTCTATTCTGTTTTTTTTTCTTTTTTGTTTGCTTTCTTTCCTCTTAGATAAATAAAATCTTACTGCAGCCAAAGCTGACTGTAAGTGCAAAGGATTTACAGCCTACACCAGCAGGTAAATAAACAGCCTGCTCAGTGGAGCAGAATTAAGTATCCATCCAGAGGACAGAAAGCCAATACTTCACAAATGGGACTGTTTGATATTGACTGCCAGAGGCATTTGCATGCAGCTCCTTAACTACTATTACTCATGAATCTCTCCAGATACAGTTTGTTATCTTGACTCTAAGTAGCTTTCTCTAGTTAGTTTCTGCATTAGCCATGACGAATGCATTTTAGAAACTCTGACAGGCAAAGATTAAGTCAATACAAGTCAAATTAAAAGAAAAAAAAAACAAACCTTGAGCTTCTTCAAAATGGCTTGCTTAAGCTCTTTCAGTTAACCAACACTCACCTACGTAGGCTTCATCATCCACCGGCAGGCGTACTGACATGCAGAGGTAGGTATCAGACTGCTCAAAGACAAAAGAACAGAAATTCCCTTAAAATAAGGCATTCTTACAATGAAAAGAAACAAAGTATCAAAATTCTGTCAGAGGATGAACAGGGGAGGAAAACTGAAATACAAAAAATTATGAATTAAGAATTTATACACTTTATAAGTGTTGGCATTGAGATTATTTGCAATAGTTAAGAAACACCACGCTCTCTGCCTGGCAAAAATTTGAAGGGGTAACAGTATTCTGATGATGTCCAAATAAGCAGAATAAATCCATGTGTGATACATAAAAACGACAAGAATTACTGAGATTCTGATTTATTGTATTTTTGATATGCATTTTTTCAGTATTTAATAACTTCCTATATTCTAAGAATAAAGACTATCTCAGAGCTAAAGATTTTTCTACCATTAGCTGTATGTCTCCTTAATCGAAGATGCATGTAACTGGACAAAAAAGGGTAAAAATACAGTGCCATTGTAACAGCGATCATAGGAATACATTTATTTATGATTCATGCATCTAATTATATGACAATCGATGAAATTATTTTTCCCCGGACATTACAACAATCATCACATGCCCTTGAAAACAAAGAACATAATTAACTAAAAAATTAATAATAAAATCAATTTATAATTTTCTTGCTTAAACATTGTAAAGGACTTGCAATTTCCTGGAGCAATTGGATGAACAGGACAGATGAGATACAGAATAATGGGCAGTCCATGAAGAAAACATATCAAGAACGACTTCTGCAAGATGTTACAGCTACCTTAGTAACCTAAAAGACTTTGAGTTTAAAGCACTCAGCACGTCAGATTTGGTATTATTCTTGGATTAAAATAGAAAAATCAATTAAAACACAAAACCAGTGTACTCAGAACAGTGGCCAGATGTGAAATCTACAAGTACTCTGGAACACAAAATAATGTCCCTGAAAACAAAACCGGGCAAATTTATGGAAAGGAAAGCTCTTTCATTGCTCATCAGCAAAACAGTGAATCATTGGTACAGCACAAAATTATTCATTTTAAATGCATATGAACTACAAAAGCAAAAAAATGATATGAGCTTTATTTTTATCTGCTAAGTGGAGGCCAGTTCCCTACAACAGCACCACGTAGAAAAAAACACAAGTTGCTTTACTGAGATATTTGTCCAAAGATTATGTAGAATGTCAACATTGCTGTAAGGAATTAATACATCTCCATGTTTTATTTAGATATAACAGAGATTACTCTACAAGGTCAGGGATGTGGTTTGTGGGTTGACAGCTATGCTATTATCTAATTTAAACATTATTTTTCAGCTTTAAGGTTGTTTAAAAAAGAAAATATCTTATACTGGTGGTACTTCACTACATCCATGAACTCCAAGACCAATAGGATGTCCTCTTTCACTCTTACTTGCCAAAACGGATGAAAACAAAATTCCTGCTACAAAACATTTCAAGTTAATGAGAAAATAAAGTACACTGAAAATAGGCTTAAACAATTAAATGCAGCTGAGAAGGAATGACAAGTACAATGGTGATAACAGCATGTGATTACACAAAGCAGTGATGTTCACAGATAAGAAATTTGAACTGGTGGTTTGCTTGAAGATAGAAAGGATAAACATAGGTCAGCTGATACAAACAATCTGAATGCTTTTCTGAACTCCAGGTATATGCATTTACAGAACATACAAAAGCCATTTATAAATCGAAAAGGAAATAGTTTTCTATTTAGCTTGGATTCAGCATTTCATTTAGAAACTTAAACTTCTCAAGTCAACAGCAGCAAAGCTGCTCCAATGAAGATGCTGTAAAGAAGCCACATGAGCAGCATGTCTGAGGCTGTTCATTCGTACTCTTTGAAGCCTTTCCACAAGCACTACCACATTTATATCATTTGTGAAGGACATTGTGAAGAACAGAACTCTTTAACATCACAAAAGAATGTATCATGCAATTTCTCAGATTAGCTAGTTGTTGATCTGAATGAAAGTTCCACTTCCTTGCACTACATCACATCATAATGATCCAGTTGAAGCATACGATTTTCTTTTCATAGAAAAATGCATGATGAAGAACAGACAACATAGAACACATAGATTACTCTGAAGATACTAATTTTGTCTCCACAATTAAACTAATTTATATGTTCTCTAGTAACTTTTTCATCTTTTTTCCCACATAAGTTGCTTAGATTCAGAACTCAGGAACTAAATGCAGTCATAACGAATACAGCAGTACATCTCCAGAAATCCTTTACCACTGCATTTTAAAAAACTGAACTTGTTCCCTTGCTCACTGGTTCACTTTGGCATCTTTTTTCATTAGATACAGAGTCACATACAGACCTTGAAACTGCATACGAACATCTAGAGGGCTAAGAGATGCATGAAGAAGATAATGAGTTAGTAAGAGGCCACTACAGAAGAATCTCCTCTCTAAAGAGGATAATTCACCTCCATTCCACTTATGCCACAACAATGAATACAACATCCGTCCACTTAGTACCAGTGTTCACTGTTGTGGGATAAAATGCTTTTGATTACCTCTTTCTGTGAACTGCAAGAAAACAAAGACTGCCTTTTCTGCATTTCTTCTCACTAAGCATATTGTGCTTAACTTGTATAAATAAGAACCACATTTCCTGCTGCTAGAGCAGGTCAGTGTGGAAGGAGGAATGGACGGAACGGAGAAAGGGAAAAATAAAAGAGGTGAGACAGAAAATAGAACATAACAGAAGAGTTGGACTAGCTGGACTACAGCATATGAGGTTAGGTGTTATTTTTGCTTATCTTCTGAAGAATTAGTGTGGCAAGTTGCTTTTTATTGCTGCCTGCCTTCCCCACCCCTCTCCCCTCTCACAAATCTACACTAGAGAAAAACGTTTGTCTTCATAAGCACTGCTGGATATAGATACTCACGCATACTTCCCATCTAACAATTATCCCAGCTTTTTGTTGATGGTGTTGCTTTTAATTTTTTCTTTTTGAATGGGAAAAGGAAGAGACTGACCCCTTCATACAAGTTTCCCAACATTTTAACTAAAGATTCCTCATGCCATATCACTAGAACTTACATAACTAGAAACGTTCACCCTGAAGAATTAAGAGTACCTTTCATTCTCTCTGAAAGGGATGCTTAGTATTTTGTTGCAGACAAATAAAATACAATAGAAACTCTTTCTCTGTTTGTACTTACTGGAATGATGCCACTTACTCTAAATTTTATGTTCCAGGAGGCTGCTCCCCAGTAACTGAGAGCCTCATTCTCCTTTCACTATTTTTTGAAAGTGCTATCTGCAACAATGAGTCATCATCTACTGCAGCACATCCTACTCTTTCCAAGCATCTGCAGCCCTTTCAAAGAGACGTGTCTTTTAATGACATATATAGTTCCCTGCATTGCCTCTGCGAAGAAAATGAAAATTAAACATTGTTTATCTTGCTAAATAAAACTGCATCTGAAAGTGACAGCAGAATTTTAGACTTTTAATGTGAATCTCAAAAATGCTGATGTTAAAAATTAATTCTTCATTTTTACTGTCTTTGTTCAGTGGAAGATAAGTTATGTCAAACCACAAAGAGATACTACTTCCTGGAATATTTCAAGATTTTAGAATGTTAAATCAAAAGTATTATTCTTGTAAAAATGCTTTCTGGCATTCTTTCTCAACTTGTCAAAGTTGCAGTAATGTTCAATTTACTGCAACTAAAATTGAACTAAAAAATTACCTGAGATTTGGTGTAAACTGCAATTTTAATCTGTCTTACCAGCACAACTGTGCAAGTTTCTTTTTAATAAATCTCATAATTGTTTCAATAAGCTCTAGCAATTAATTGTAAGAAATCAACATATTAGAAATAAAATTTGTCAGGTGAAGCTATTTTTCTATCCTTTGAAACACTTTTTCAGATTTCTATTTCTCACTGGACATGCACATACCTATTGAAGTTACCATTTTCTTCATTCACCTTATGTTAGTCATACTTTGGGCAAGACTTTCTTTCTCTAGCCCATTGGAAAAAAGAAAAAAACAATAATTGGCAAAAAGAAAAACTATACTTCTCCCACCTGCTTGGGTGTCACTCCAGGCATACGAATGTCCAATGTGAAATCTGACAGCCCAAATGAAACAACCGGTCTGGTGCTCCCAAAGCATTCACTGGAAAGAGATCTAGTAGCATCTTTGTACCTTAAAAAGAAGCAGGGAATATAAAGATAAATATATATATTTTTAATATATTTTTAAAAGATCTGTATTAGAAATAGTAAAGAAGTCTGACAACACAGAATGGGCTCCAGGAACGATTTGGAAAATTCCCTCTTTCATTAGGTCATAAAAAACATCTCCATTATCAAGCAATTGCTGAAGTAATTCCTATGAAAAAAAAATCAGATGTATTAATCTCATCTAAATCACTGTCTTAGGTACATAGATGTACAGATAAAGAACTAATTCACTAATATATGTCAAGTACTATTAATCACTCAAAACAGATTGCTGTTTTGTTAGGAATATGTACCTGCTGTATAATTCAATAAGGAGAATTTTTTTTTTCCTTTTTACCTTCCAGTACTATGACATTTATAGCAATTCCCACTGCCAGTAGAGAAGCAAAACAGTAAGTTTTAGAATTTCACATGAATATCAAGGTCTATATTCATGGCAAATTACAAAAAAAAAAAGAAAAAA